TGGGAATCATGTGTGTTCCGAGCAAGACCCTCTGTCCCTTTTCGAAGGGTGACAAATTGGCATATTTGGTTTTTCACAGAAAGAGACTGGAGCCAAAAGTGTTGCCATGGCAACAACACAAAAGATGTCATTCTCTTTCTTTTGCGATGCACATTTGTGGTGCCAAGTTTGAAGAACACTGCTCCAATATTCCTAGAGATATTCTTGATTCAGTGTTTTACTGTTCAAGTGGAACCACCTATGACTTCATCAATTTCCTCATTTGCATAATACAAAAACGTAAATATCTCTAGAACGAAAAAAGTTATTCTAAAAAGGGAAAGGCCATTCTTCTTTACTTTGAAAACCCTTTCAAATAAGCAGCAATTATTTTTTACTTCATAAGCACTTTAATTCCACAAAAAGGTACAAAACCTACCGCAACGTCTGATTTGGCAACAGAAAAACTGTTATATTTCTCTAGGATATCATAACCAGAGCTCTCAAGTTCATATGTTGGCTAAAAGTAAGATCTTCGAAGGTGTAGCTGCTATTTGTGGCACCGCAGGCGGCATCCCGCTAGGGGTAGCTAAGACATGTTTTCCTTCATTCTGAGCAGAAATGTGATGCTTTAAAAGCAACTGTTTAGATCGCAGAATTTTCTTTTTATTGGACCAATATCAACTCTTTCTTAACATTCTGACTTACATGTATCTAGAAGTCAAATTAACATGTTATAATGCTTGTTCTACATGCTGTCAGTCCGATCACTGACCAATCACGGATGAAATTATATCATAAAAGATAGTTTATTATGAAGGAACTTCACTAAAGCAGCAAGAAATCTTAAATGCGTGAGAAATAATAGTTTCAGGGTGAGAGCGTAAGACTGAATTTGTTTGCGTGAGACAGCTTGGGAGCTCTGCATAACATAGTGAATTTCCAGTTCCAGTCAGTTCCAAGATGCTGGCTTAAGGCTGTACAAGATCACTCTAGCTCTCAACTAAATCTGGGGCTCAAAGTTTAAGAGTCTGAACGTCTCACACTCACACTCAAAACACTTTGAAGTCTCGGTCTCACAATCTAAAAAGTCAAAATGTCTCGGGCTCGCAAAGAAAAACGCTCGTCTCGCCATCTCGCAAAGTCTCGCATTTACCATTCACCACCCCGACTGATATGGAAAACTAATTTGTGCAAGTGCAAGCACAAGCTTTGAAAACAAAATGGAAAGTGCATAAAATACATTTGTCAGACATATTTTGCCTGATTTTTGGCATTCTGAGGGAAAACGTTTTTGAATATTTGATGCATTTTTGAGGCTGAATTGGTTATTTTTTAGAGAGGCATCTCTGTAACAGCAGAATTTTGTTGTTTTACTGCCTTATTAATAATAATATGGCCTCAAAGACCTACCTCTGGATCATCTTTGAACTTTTTCTTTGCTACTTTTCCCAAGCTTTTCTCAATAGACCTCAGTGATTTTGTCAAGATTGCATTTGTTTGATCAACCATCGTCACCTGGTGATTTGTGGCTGCTGCTACCTGAGTATGTAAATTACATTCAACATTATAAAATTATAACTAAGAGTACATTCATTTGTAGTTTGTATAGTGTCATCATCTAGGTGAGGCTAGTTCTGAAAAGAACTGTTGTTGGTGACTGACCTTTCGGCATCCTTGGTCAAGTGCCCATCAATACACTCAATCAATACTCTTGATCGATACTCTTGATCTATACCCTTGATAAACATCCCAATCGATAGTCATTTGACACTTGATCAACAGTCAGTCAAAAGTCAGACGAGTGTGGACCAACTCATATGAATCGATCAAAATTAGTCAACAGTGAAACCAACTGTTTCAAGACCGAGATGTCGATGGAGTGTTGATGGACTGTCAACTGAGGCGTTGATCGAGTGTCAATCAAGTATCGATTGGGTACTGATCGAGTGTCAATCAAGTATCGATTGGGTACTGATCGAGTGTCGATCAAGTATCGATTGGGTACTGATCGAGTGTCGATCAAGTATTGATTGGGTACTGATCGAGTGTCGATCAAGGTTCCCTTGAGGGTGTCAACCAATGGTATCAATCGACACTTAGCCATGGGTGCCTTTAGTACACATGCTCGTTTGGTTTGGCATATTTAATGAAAAATAAAATTTGTAACAGAATGTGAAAAATTTTAGTCTAAAACAATTTGCAAAGTTTGAAAACCACTAAGGGTTAATGAAAATTCCATGATCTGTAAGAAGAGGAGAAGATGCAGCTCTGATAAGGTTTCGCCTGACTAGTTGTTAGTATATTACTAGATTCTGTTTTTATCCATTTGTTAAACCATAAGACATCCACAAGACACCAATATATAATGTGAAGACTGTACCTGAACCCAGCAGTGGAAAATTTGCTGATTAATAATTATTATTTATTTATAGTTATTTTTTTTATAAGGGGGGGGGGGTTACAGTCCCTTCCCCTAATTCCCAGGTTCTGCCATTTCTAAATATTATTTTAAGGGGGGGTTGGCTACAGTCCCTCCCCATAAGCCCCTGCCAGGCTCTGTCGTCCCCGAAACCTCGCAAATGTTGCGGTAGTGTATTATGTAATTCTTTTTGTTGTCATTGCAGCAGCTGTTATCGTTTTGGGGCTTGGGGGCATTGTTTCTGTTTTTTGTTTTATTGTCCTCTCAAAGGGTTTCAAGGCATTCATGTGAGATCTTACGAGAGCTGCAACAAGACCCAAATGTTGGGGGATGCGAGGGATCAAACACCGAAATTAAAAAAAAAAAACTTTCAAATATGGTTAATTTTATAATCTTCAGTGAAGCAAACCTTGTCTTCTGCAATTGTTTTTATTAATTATTAAAGATTATTTCCGTCAAGAACAAATTACGTGCACTAAATCACGACATCAAAGCCCGCGTTAGTTTTATAAATAAAACACGTGTGACTCCAACGTCACATTTACGTCCAGAAATCCATGTGAAAATTGTTTGAGCCAGGCCAAACTGTAATATGATTTCCACTTCCAAAAAAAAAACAAATCTAAATTTGAGTTTACAGTTAAACGCATTTCTGCTTAAACAGTTTTGAGCTAGCTTAAACGTACAGAACGTACGAGGTCAATTTAGCAGCCTGATAGCAAAAAGCTAGCTTCCCTTGTATGCGTGAACACTTTTAATTTTTGAAGCAGAGAACGACTGGAAAACTTCAAAGCATATTGTAATTTGTAGTGCATAACGATATAACAAATCAGGATTTCGCCAAAGTTAACAGGTGAGCTGGAATAATGGTTTTTACCCATTCATTTATTAAAACTTACTTGAGCAATCCCGGCTCCCATAAGTCCACTGCCAATGACCGTGACATTTTTTATGGCATTGTGACTAGAGGATGAACTGAAAAAAGATGAAACCACAGCCAAGTTCTTTCCCAATGATGAGTGCCTCAGAAACTGGGCAGATGGTAATTTCGAGGCAGTGCAACGAAAGAGTGAGGCCATATTTGAGAAAAGATGCTAAAAGTCACGAAAAGTTCGAGTGTGACCGGGAAATGGGCTAAACACGTGGGACTGGGAACTAAAAGGTCAACGTCCATTCCCGGAGCGGGGGTCCCCCGGGTAGTGGTGGCGGGGGAGGGTGGACCCCGGGAGGGACTCCCATATGGAGTGGACGGGGATGCTCGCGGAAATTTTGAATTTAACCCCTAAAAGAGACCAATCTGGGCGTGGCCGAAGCTTATGCAGACCCCTAAAAGAGACCAGTTTATAAAACAGACAAATAA